CCCCAAAACCCCAAAACCCCAAAACCCCAAAACCCCAAAACCCCTAGGAACACCAATTAGACTGAAGCTGTTTTAGGATATAAGTTGTGGAAATCTACATTGCGAATATCATTGTGAAGTTCAAACCAATTGAGAGGAGGATCAATATAAACATAATCCTCTTGTTGTCAAAGAAAGCAGTGAAAGTTGATGCCTCCCAGTTCTTTGAGGTGGGTTTGATACATTCCTCTGCAAGCTCTTGTTTCAGGTTGATTCTTGTGGCTTCTAATTGTTTGATGTCTGATTTCACACCCTCAATTTTGGCTAAGGAGTTAGAATTTAGGTCTTACTTTTCAAATAATCTCCTTTTCCTTTAGAATTACATATGATTCAATCCTTGGAGAGGTCCTCAGTAGAGATGGAATCCAGGTCACTACTCTCTCTAGTACCATAAAGGTCAGGTGTAGTTCTGAAAATGATACTTTCAATATATATCTCATGCTCTCTCACTAACTTCTGGATCTGTGTTTCAACTTTTCTAAATTCCTACAAGAAAGTGAGATTGGTGCAAGACCTCATTAATCTAAAAATCCGCAGAATAGTGTTGCCCTGATGATATCTTACCTTCTGAAGGATAGCATTTTCTTCGCTCTTACGTGACACCTTGGCTTCAACGTCATGAATTTCATTATTAAGCTTGCAGAGCTTGCGATCATCCTCTATTTTCTTTTGGCGAATCTTTTCTTCTCTCATTTGCTTGATCTTGATGGTGGAACTCTCACAATGTGTCTCGAACATCTCTTTTAAAGCTTGGATCTTTCTTGAATCCCTCTTCTGTTTTTCTTGGAGAACAAGAATAATTTTATGGGCGTACTGGTTTGAATCATGTAGGAACCCTATAGGTTAGAGACAGCAGATACTTTTCTTCCAAGTTTCTCAAATTTCAATCATTGAATCCTTATTGTCCAGCTCAACCTCCAATTTATCCAAGGTATCATTGTTCCTATAAGAGTTTTCTTGACTTTCTTTAAGATTCTTCTGCAATGATAGGACTTTACTCTCAAGCCTAGACTCTATAAAGGAGTAATACTTACATATTTATTGCTCCTCAGAGCATCTCATGATTCTCAGTAAGGACTGACTTCTCAGCCAGTACTTCATTGAGCTGTTTGGAGTAGTTCTCAATCACGCTGTGGACTATGCCATGATTAACCCTCCAAAAATGATGAAATTGCTTACTATTTGCCTTGATATTAGGTTCATCATTCTTCTCAAGTATCTCGGGGCTTCCATCTGCATTCTCATATTCTCCAAACAGATTGCTGTGTCTTTGATCGTGATCTGACATATTTGAATTAAATTTATTAAAAGCTGAAAAAATGGGGTTTTGGGGTTTTGGGGTTTTGGGGTTTTGGGGTTTTGGGG